GTCCCAGTTTTCGCGGAATTCTGGGGAGAACGACTTGGGCAGGAGGAGGAGACGGATGTAGTCGCCTCCCGGGCTGAGGTCTTCTTCTACCATGCCGGACTCGCTGTCGGTACCGTTATAGTACTGTTGATAGTGCTGCCGACCACCACCAGCGCGCTTATCGGAGGGGCTCTGCTCAACGAAATGGTAGTTTCCATTGGGGGAGGGTAAGAACGGGGCGGAGAATGGGAACAGGAATGAGATGTAAGACAGTAGCTCTTGCCAGAAGGGACCGCGAATGATAATGATCTTGGTGTTCATCACGCGCAGGCCACGATTGGAGACAGCGAGCCAGCGCCGAGGCCATCTGATTCCTCGTTCCCATTGCCCTGTACCCCAGATGAGCAGCGCGGTAACCACCCCTCCAAGCAGGGCGACTTTCTCCCCCATTTCCACCACCCAGTAGACAGAGCCGCCTACCCCGCGGCCATCCTCACGCGGGCGAAGGAAAAGGGCATATGCAAAATGGGCAAGCCAAGCGGCTAGTAGAAGTAGGAAGAACGTGTTCTGGCGGCGACGCTCGCGCAGGGCCAGATACTGGGCTCGTAGCGAGGTTTCGAGTATTAAGAGGTTTAGGTAGATCTGGGGCGGGGAGGAGGGCAGGTGTGCCAGCGGGTCTGGGGTCGAGGCACGTGGAGGGGAGGAATCTGAACGGTGAGCTTGAGACGACCTTGAGGAGTTCAACGGCTCTGGAGTTGATGGGGCGCTCGCGCCCGGTGTTGGGGCACCCTTGACCACCTGGTCTAAGGGTGAGGCCATAGTAGAAGAGTCCCAAGATGATAGTAGAATATGAAAGCAAAGCGCGTTGACTAAAGTCAAATCAAAACTTGGCCGATCCGGCCCAGGGCGAGTGTCATTAGTGTCATTGCATGTGAAGAGGAGAGAGAAAGGCGGGAAGGTGAAAGCCAAGTTGGATCGACATCATCTGCCCAGTTAGTTGACTTCACTTCTATACCTACACAAATATTGCCCATTGCCATTAACTTAGGGGGTTTCCACCATATTTATCTTTTCATTGACTCTCTTCCTTCGGATATTACCTCTTTTGCCCGGAGTTTCGCATGTCAGACCTACCGGGGTTAAGCGGAGTGACCGAATTGTCTCCGCGTTCCCTGCTTATACGTCCATGAGCGCCACCGTCCAACTTTTGCTAGCAGAAACTATCTGTCTTCCCAATTTGCGAATCGCAGGCACAACTTCGCGACTTGCTTCGCTCTTTTCAACCACTCAACACCAGGCCAAACCCTGCTCAGCCGTCTTCGCCACCCTCCCACGGGGGCACAGACTGTCTTCAATGGCGTCAGAATCACTCAACTCGTCCCATGAGAACGTCCATGGGCGCGATCAACAACCAGGTGAAAGCAATATCGAGAGAACTCCGGGAACCCCATATGCGGCTCAGGCTGCTGCTGGCGCGGCAGCAGCGCGTGCATTTTTTCCGTTGGGATATCGGGAAGGCTTTAGTCAATGGGTAAGCTAACAATTTAGAAGCCCCCATTACCGCATGTCCGCTGATGATTTGATTTACATAGTGGGCTCGTATACCTGCAGCTACTGCCGAACACAAAGTCCTCTCTTATTTGCCTTACTTGCACCACCAGCCCCCCACCCACCTCCAGACTGGAAAAACGGCAGAGCTCCCGGATGGCACTATCCCGACCAGTCTCGAGAGCGCAGACCCTAATCAGCTGGGTGAAGTCACCACTAACTCCCTTGATGACCCTTATGGCCCTCGCCGCTGGCGCTCTAGCATGGTAGAACTGAGCGGGAAAGACCGTGCGCTCAATGAGTTCTCGGTGGAGAGGGTTGGCGAGGAAGCAGACCAACATTTGGTCATGCTCCACGGCTATGGCGCCGGACTTGGTTTCTTCTATAAAAACTTCGAACCACTGAGTCGGTTGAAGGGCTGGCAACTCCACGCCTTGGACATGTTAGGCATGGGCCGGAGTACTCGACCCTCATTCAAAATCAAGGCAAAGGAAAGAGAAGACGCTATCAGGGAGGCCGAGGCTTGGTTTGTAGATGCCTTGGAGGAATGGCGCATCAAACGAAAGATTGATCGCTTTACCTTGCTTGGACACAGTCTCGGCGGGTACATGGCGGTTGCCTACGCGCTGAAATACCCCGGGCATCTAAACAAGCTTATCCTGGCATCTCCAGTTGGCATCCCAGAGGACCCATACGCTGTCACTGCAGATGTGGCCGAGCCTCGGGCATCGACATTGTCCAACGAGCTTACTCAAGACGAGCGAGATATAACTTCGTCCATTCCGGAAACAGCACCGAAGACAACCGACGGTAGCTTTATCACTGGGCGCCAACCACTCCCGGCTGATTCCGCACCACCTCCAGCTCCACGACGGAATCTCCCTAAGTGGTTCGCGTATTTATGGGATGCCAATATCTCGCCCTTCAGTCTGGTGCGGTGGGCTGGTCCTCTAGGCCCACGTCTCGTGTCCGGATGGACCTCTCGTCGTTTCTCCCACCTACCAGCCGAGGAAGCTAAGGCACTCCACGACTACTCGTACTCGATCTTCAGTCTTCGTGGTAGCGGCGAGTATGCGCTAGCATACATTCTTGCCCCCGGTGCTTTCGCTCGTAGTCCTCTGATCCACCGTGTTCACGGCCTCGGGAGACAACTGATCCAAAACACAAGCCCCCTTGCTCATCCAGCCGCCGCCGCCACCACTTCGTCAGCGCCCTCTGAGAATACGACCGCCTCTACCGCCACTCCTTCGTCCGACTCTTCGGCACCTGCTCGGCGCGAGAAGGGTCTCCCTGTGGTGTTCATGTATGGCGACCACGACTGGATGGATGTCTCAGGTGGTCGTGCAGCAGCAGCTATATTGGAAAAAGAAAAGCGGAAAGTCCTAGAAAATGCCACCCCAGAGGAGAAGCGTACCGACGAAGGTTCCTCTAAGGTGGTCGTTGTGAATAAAGCTGGCCACCATTTGTATCTCGATGGCTGGGAGGAGTTCAATGATATTGTGCTCACCGAGATGGAAGAGGTCAACCAGAGGGAGAGAAGTCGTCAGTAATGACGTGGATAAGGCTTCTTTCCCTTTGTCGTGAATAACGACCTATTAAATTTAGAGCTGGAGTGTGATGTTAACCTTCGTCCCTCGTTTATTGTGGTATTTAATCTCTCTTTTGCCCCTCATGTTATGTGCCTATCTCCCCCTTTTCCATGGCTATAATTCTGTACGGTCCATATTGACTAGATAGACTTGGACAGAATAAATGACACTTGCCATGAATGCTCTAGTCGGAGAAACAGCTTTCATGCATTTTTCATTTGTGCTCTTTGCGCCTCCCAAAAAAGAAAAAAAAAACAACACCCTTCATTCAGCTCGATCACCAGCAGTCAGCCCTCTCGAATTCAGTCCAGGGGTACTTTGTCTCCGATGCCTAGGGCTAGTGGGATAATGTGCCATCAAGCGTGCCAGCCCCACCGATGGAGCATCACGCTCTTCAGTCGACAGACCAATCCCGGGAGTAGTATACCCACTAGCACTGGGACTAACCCTCCCGGAGAGAATATGGCTACTAGAGGACCCAGGGCGCCTCAAAGAAAAATACCCACCCCCGCCAAAGCTCCCGCCACTACTATTGCTCCCGAAGCTGTGACCCAGCCCATCCCCAGAGGTGGAGAGATATGAGCTCGTGAACGGTGCATCGCTGGCAGGGAAGGCGCGCGGGAGAGCCCCCGACTGAGAATACGAGTTTGAATCCAGCCGCAGGTATGGCTGGGGCGTCATAAACGGAGCATTGAGTCGCGCTGTTGGCGACATCATCGACTGGCTGTACTCCCTCGAATTAACAGCGGCGATATCAGGCCTGTTTGACAGCGCTAGGGAGAGTCCCATGCCCGTGCGACGGTCAGAGGTCGTTAGCGATGAAGTAGTGAGCGAACGGTGGTGGTGTCTTGACCCGTCTTGTTGCTGATCGTGGTAGATGCCCTGCGAGGCCCTTGCTCCCGTCGGCGATTGGAGATTGCTTCGGCCATTGCGCCAGTCGGCGATTCCGGGGCTGCTTAGGGTGCTTTCGGCGTGGACACTTGTACATAAAATGACGAGTTGCGAGGGGAGCTCGAGACGGTTATTTAGAGATAGCCAGGCTCGTTCGTCTTCATCAATGTCTGCGTCTAGATCGATGTCACCGGTGCTATGTATCGAAGAGGACGAGGTCGAGCTTGTCGCTTTCCCGTGCGGAGTATGCGAGCTGCGTGTTTTGGATGTAGGGTATGAGCGCCATCCACCGACGCCTTCGAAGTCTCGCCTTTCATCGCCACTTACAGGCAGGCCGCAGATGGGCGTTGGGGTAGACAAGTTGTGGGCCTCGATCATGCTCCGTGCATAAGAGTTCCTTTTGCGGTTTGCTGGGTCATCTAAACTGCTACCAATGGACCAAGAAGTAAGAGGGTCATTTATCTTTCGTGGATGTGTCGTCATTTGGCTGGAGTTCCTTCTTGATCTACTACTAGCTGGAGTAGTAGGTTCTGATGCCGCAAATGTCAATAATGATGACGTAGGTGAGGTTGGCACTGAAAAGAAATGCATGAACAATTCGTAGAATAGCTCAATACAGACTACTGATAGTCTGAGTATCAATGCAAAGAGCGCAGCGGATATTGTAACCCATGCTGAGAAAATGAGTGGGATAGAGATGATGGCCAGGATAGGCAGCGCAAGCAATGTTGATAGAGAGGGCCACATCGAGGAGTCAATCTATATCTCCAGGAAGTGGGGAAAAGACCAAAAGCCTATGATTATACGACATTCGGTACTTTAAGACCACAGTCATAGCATAAACAACAAATTGCGGAGAAAGCATGTGATGGGTGCCCCAGGCAGCACAAACGCCAATTACATCATTTCGCTAACTTCAACCTTGTTGTATATTACAAACTTAGAATCTAGCTCTGGGGGCCTTGTTCTTGTTTCAATTGAATAGCCCAAGACATGCCAGAGGATGAGCCGTTCCCTTGGGACATTGGCGTTTACGATGCCCACTGTCACCCCACCGACACATTGGCCTCAGTGGCCGACATCCCGCAAATGAAAGCGACAACACTGACAATCATGGCCACGCGCGGGGAAGATCAAGATCTCGTACAACAAACAGCCGTGTCACTGTCAGCCAAGACAAGCCAATCAATGGCAGACCGCGTAGTTCCCTGCTTCGGATGGCATCCGTGGTTCTCACACCAGATTTTAGACGACACTACACAACCAACAGCTGCACAAAACCCAGCCGAGCACAAGTCCACGCACTATACCGCCGTGCTAGCACCATCCCCAGCCGATGACCAACCATTTGTTGATTTACTTCCTGTTCCTAAGCCCCTCTCAGAACTAATATCTGAAACTCGGAACCGCCTCCAACAGTTCCCCAATGCGCTAGTCGGCGAAGTCGGCCTGGACAGGTCATTCCGACTTCCGAGCCCATGGACTCCAACCGACATCGATAACAGAGATGACCAGCTTACCCCCGGCTCACGAGAAGGCCGGCGTCTCTCAAACTACCGCGTCAAGCCGGAACACCAGCGCACTGTACTGAAAGCGCAGCTACAGCTAGCGGGAGAAATGAACCGTGCCGTCTCGCTGCACAGCGTGCAAGCCCATGGCGGAGTCTTTGAAGTGCTTAAGGAGCTCTGGGCAGGACATGAACGGGTTATGCTATCGCGACGGAAGAGGGACAAGCAGCGGGATGCAGAAGGCGCCGTGTCTGACGACGATGATGACAATGACGGAGATAAGACGTTGGAAGGATGTGTGTCGACTAAAGCATCTAACCCCAAAGGGAAATCGTATCGGCCGTTTCCGCCTCGCATCTGCATGCACTCGTACACCGGTTCGGTTGAGCCCATTCGCCAGTTCCTGCATCAGTCGAATCCGTCGGATGTTTATTTCTCTTTCTCGAAACTTATCAATTTCTCCGGTGCTGCTGAGAAGAAGGTTGGTGATGTTATCAAGGCTTTGCCTGAGGATCGCATTCTTATCGAAAGTGATCTACATGTTGCAGGCGCGCAGATGGATGAGTTGCTTGAAGATGTGGCCCGACAGGTTTGTCAGCTACGTGGATGGGAGTTGCGGCATGGTGTACAGGTGCTTGCAGATAACTGGCGGCGGTTTGTGTTTGGCTAGGTCTTGCGTTTCATTTTTCTACTCCTGCATGGGTTGAGCATGGATTGAATTTCTGACTTGTTGCACTTTCCCCTCGCGGTTTTTCTAAGCGGTGCAATTAGCGAACACGCATATATGGCGCGACTGGATCGCTCTTGTACGTATATCCATGGATATTGCCTAGGTAATTCATTGAGACATAAAAAGGCCCCAACTGATTTGACCCAACATCACTATTTGCAGTTATATGACGTGGTATATCTCTATCATTGTATGTGATTGTTTGTGACATGGTATCGTAGGCTGGGCCTGTACATGTCTGTGGCCTGACATGGTCTCTAAGATGTATCGTGTAGCTGCGTGCCCTGGCATGGCTCGTCTCGTCGTCAAATTAGAAAAGGTATCCGAAGAGTAGGCGATGGAGAAGATGACAGCTCTATATATATAGTCATCAACCAGAGGTAGCGAGAAAAAGCTAATTATGCAGCCATCCTCCATCGTGAATAAGATCTGCCATCGGGGCATCCTGCCAGTAGATCTGCCGCCATTCATCTTCAAGCTCGGGCAAACCTTCAACTCCCACAGGGGGAGGTAGGTCTACATCACCGAAGGCGAACAGCTGTCGCCAGTCCGGATAGTCGCGAGCTGGCTCGATGGAATCCACTTGCATGCTGGCTGAAAAAGGATCGTTCCTTTCCAGCGGGCCAACATTAAGCCGGAGAGGGGCAATCCAATTATTAAATTGAGGGTTGGGTTGTGGTGAGAGAGTCGTTTGTTGGAGAGGGGTAGATTCGGGGGTGGGCACCCCGAAGGAGAGTGGCCCGGGGGTTTGCATGGTAATTGATGGAACAGGAGAGGTAATGGGCATCTTGTGCGCATGATGAGTGTCGTTGAACGGCTTGGGTCGTTCCGTGGTTGCCATCCGAAGATCCTCTTGCAGACGTTTGGAGTCCTCGAAGAGTCGCAGGATTGTACCAGCATGAACCCAGTATTGAGCTAATTCGCGCAGCGAGTAAGAGGCAGAATCGAAGCGGCGTAAGGCATTGATGGCAAGAACTGGATTGGAGAAGCGGAGCTCAACCCGGACTTGAATCATGGCCGTGAAGAGGGTATGGACGCCAGTGTACCAAAGGAACTTCAAGCGCTCGTGCATCCTGAGCTCTTCAAATATTGAGGCTATAACCCCTGCGGCTGCACTGCAAATTTCTGCATCGTGAGGGCCATAGTCATCAGAATAGGCCGAGGCTCTGGGATGAGGCCGATGCAACAGAATGAGGAAGTTGTTGTAGGTCAAATGGAGCATAGCGGACCAAGGATCCATATCAGATGCGCGAAGCCGAAGATTATCAGGAAGTTTCAGAGACCAGGTTGCCAATGATCCATCAGCTTCTTGAAGAACGGCCTTTCGCCGTTCTTCACTTGCCCGAAGTCCAAATCGATCGCGAATGAGATACGAGATCATCGTACACAGTTCGGTAAAATGAATCACGTAGTCTGCTTGTACAAGAGGACCACAATTCTCAAAATCAGCGAGCGTCAAAGGAGACACATCAGAATCGTCTAGATTGCTAAATTGAAAGTTGATTAGTATTCGCTGCAATTTGGCCGTTTGGAACGACTCACATCGCCTGAGGTCGGCCATATGACAGGGAAATCAACACATCAAATTGGACCAGAATGAACCAAACCCTCCGCCACATTCGCCGATCGCGAGTCACAAATCTACTGGAAACGGGATTACGGTGCATTCCAAGCCCCGTGGCGATACGGGCAGCGGCCCCAACCCAAAAGTGAGCATCTGCAGCAACATCATCATCTGCGCTATCCGAATGCCACGTCAAAAGAAGGGCTGCTTGAACAAGAATGTCGCGATTTCGTTCGATGCGATTGTCAAACAGATACTTGGTCCGACGGAAGAAAATTTCTTTGAGAGCGTCTCGCTCTACTTTAGCACGAGAAACATGCGCCCCAACCAGCAAAATCGCTTGAAGAAGTAGGACTGGCGGAGGATCTGTAGGATCCCGGTTCCGGTATTGCGTCATGAATAAATCTTCGTCAATGATAGGGTACCCCGGATTGACATATGTAAAATAAGCCTGGACCAATTCATCTGCGAGAGCCGGTTCTGGAAGTGTTAGAGCATCCATAAGAAGCTGATCATGACCGGTCTTCATTTGACGCCGTGGGATCTCGTTGCTCGCAAAATGGTATACATCGTCATCTTGTTCTCGTTGTTGTCGAAACAAGAATGACATGTTCGAATGTTCGTGTCCGACATAGAAGGCGCGCACGCCTCTTTGTATCTCTCTCCTGCCGGATTCCTCCTCGTCTATCAATTTAACGAGATGTTGCTCCATCTCCGTGTGTGCCTCGCGGGCATGCGCCATATCGGGGCGGCCAAATGCCTCCGATCCCATGCCTTGCTGAAATCCATGTTGCGGAAGGCCCCCAGATATTGGTGTGGCATGGCCGCTCTGAAATGCAGTTGGAAAACTTGGTGGTAGTGGTGTCCCCGCTGCAAGGGTCGGGTTTGAAGTAGGATCGGAGGTGGGTAGAGGCCGAGATCGGATCGGAACAGGATCTAGGATTGAGCGTACTGCAAGACGCTTTTTCTTTTCGTGTATGCGACAGTCAGCCTTTCCAGAGGCGCGACAGTTGGTACAGGGTGTTCCGACGGTACGGGCATCGCAGCGAACTTTGCGCCGGTGACAGTGGACACAAGCTGCGGAGCCTAAGAGTTTTTTGAGTCACCGGTCAGCAAGTCTGATCGCGCAAAAATAACCGATAGCCGAGAACAAAGAACAAAGCCCGCATATCAAGATACATAACGATTAAGCAGATAAGGGGCATTGCTTACCTTGTTTGCGCTTGCTCACCCCATCTACCGGGAGCGGCGAGGGGGCGTTATCGTTGACGGAGGACATGACAGGAGTACCATTGGCATCATTCTTCCAAATCGGCCACGATTCTGCATTATTCGAGTCACCAACACCAGTCACTTCAAGGCATCATGGGCGAACTTCGAAATGGTTGCCGAGGATAATGCGACAAACAACTAAATCAAGAAACAAAAAAGTCGGGAAGTTGAGGAAACTGCGGGATCGGGGTCTCTGGTGGAGACTCACGTGGGTGCGGAGAAGGCGATTATGTAATAAATGGGCCAAATCTTGGAAATCGTATCACAAGGTCATATTCCTCCTTGGGAGTTGCATTATTGCATTTGATATATCGTGTTCTCCGTTAATGCAAGGATGTCTTCATCTTTTCTTAGGATATCGCTTTGATGGCCTGAATACTGCTGTTATTCCTTCGGTCCACGATGTACATATTTGCGATACATTACGGTGAGCCACAGCGTCGTAGGCAAGCCCGTGCTCCATGTGCTCTTCTTGACCAGATGACCAAGAGACACTCCACATCTATCGCAGCAATCCAACATTAGCCAAAAGAATTATTCAAGGATTCAGCAATACCCACTTGGAACAACATCTCTCCCGTCCTAACGGAGCAAACCTGGACGGTAGCTGCTATTCTGGTGGAGGTCTTCGTCTACCAAGCTATCTCTGACTATCTCTGATACGCAGAGCCTCAATGAATGTCTAAGCCACATACCCGATCAGTCTATAAACCAGGCACATCAAGATGAATAATAAACCAGATGAACATATTTCCCAAACAGAACACCCATCTTAACCTCTGGCTTCAATTCAAGAATGGGAAAGGAAACAAACGAGATCAACCGATCGAGCAAAAATATCTGAAGATCCCCCACACCGACCCCCGTTTATCCAAGTATTTTCCAACGGTTCTAGATCTAGCCAATGAATGCTACTAGGGATCGGACAGCAATGCATTCATTATACGGAGTACGGAATACAACATACGGCCTAGCAAAACAGATAGGAAAGAAAGAAGAATATACATACGGAGTGGGTCCTATCACCTACTATTGGTGCGCCACAACACTAGATGTGCCCTAACTCGAACCCCTGAAGATCTACGAGGCTCGTACAACATACGGAGTATATCGGCTGCACTTCCTTCCGGTTGCTGATCTCTACCATTATTGATCTCTGGGCTGACATCTTCCTCGGGAACTTAAACAAGAGGCCTTCATATCCAATTGTACTATGTACTGACTGGATCAATAGATGGGCAGCATTTTACGCACGGACTTTATGCCAGCTCAGCTCTTGGCTGCCGGCACTTGATTTAGGATTTGAGATATTTGCCCAATACTAATTCTCAGAAAAGGAATTAGATTCATAAGCGGTAGTATCATACTCCGTACACCGTATCCCCTGTTCGCTCTAATTGTGAAGGGGTATTTATCTATAAGGCTCTTTTGAAGACTGGCATGTATGTCATAAAAAGCTAATCAGGTCCAAAACTCAAAGCAGCGTCTTGAGTGTATGTTGTACCGAGGCATTTCGACCTACTTGAGTTGCGCCCAAGCTATTCCCAAAAATGGCGAGGCTGGCAGCCCCGTCGGGTTGCGAAAGCTTCTCGTTCTTGGCCATTAATTACCTCTGGACAACACCCCTGTGATCTACGTACACAAATATGAGAATGGATACATCAAATGTTGTATAACTACGGAGTACTACTACGGATTATGCACTCCGTATGAGTACATAACTAGTTACAGAGCTTAGCGAATTCCTGGCTTAGCTGAACAGATGATATTACTGATGATCGTGATGGATATAACGCGTAAATACTTTTGGACTGAGTGTTCTATCTGCACTTCATAAGAGAAATGGCACTTCTCTGTGTGTATGAATGGGCTGACATTTGGTGCACTATCACTTTGGATCCTCGTCCATTTTCCAGCTTGAGTGCTATTTGATCTCAAGCTGCCGGATCGCCTACGGGCGATATTTTCTCAGAACCTATTCACTTTGATACTCCCAAACAATGCTTCCAAAATTATGTATATAGCATGAGCACACCAAAGAGACACTAGTTATGAACAATACCATTAAGTCTAGCTTGTCCTTCCAGACCTGCCTTCATAATCATACCGAAGATCTCCAGATCTTTCCTAGCATCCTTCGAAGTGGTTTTAGCGGGCTTACCATCAACAACAAATGCATAAAGCTCCTTCATTTCCAATGTATAAGCATCTTCGTACGTCTTCCGAACCACAGACTCACGAAATGAGCCATCTTCCAACTTCTCGCGAATGTGCATAGTGGTAGGCAACCCTTTGACGTAAGGCGAATCAAAGCAAACCTTGACAGTCTTATGTCCACCAAAGACCTCAATCGACGCATCGAAACGGGGGATATCATCAATTCCGGACTCATAAGACACAGCAAAAGAGGGATATTGGAAGAGGGCACTGGAGAGGGAAAATAATTAGCATGTTTCCCGGAGCTGTAGATATAGAATTTGCAACTTACCTCCAGAATGGGGGTCCCTTCGCAGAGCATAGAGAAGCACCAAGCACAGCAGTCGGCATACCAAGAGCCTCTCTCATTGCACTAAGATCATGCGAGCCAAGACTTCCCAAGTGCCTCCACTGAGCAGCAGTATCAGGCGTAACTGGAATCCCCAATTCCGCCGTCAAAGCCTGTTCAAGGAACTCGTCCGTCCTGGTCGACAATTCCTTCACGTCCTCTGATCTGTAATCAGAGAAAACCTTAGGAAACGTACCAGACTGACCAACGAAATCCGAGTTCGGGCCGACAATATCTCGCACCCGCGCATAGCACACTTGATCAAAGCTTCCTATCTCCTTGACGGCATCAATGAAGCCACTCGCATACCGCCGCATATATCCCACCATGACCTTTCCGGAAGTTTGCTTCTCGAGCTCGATGAGCTGGTCCGCGTCTTGCAGAGAGAGGGCCACGGGCTTCTCGATGAAGACGACTTTGCCATGTTTCAGGCCTAGTACGGCGTGGGGAACGTGGAAGGCGTCGCTGTTGGCAATCATCACAATGTCCACGTCCGGGGAGGCGCAGAGCTCCTCTGCCTTGCGAGTCGTCTTGGGGATACATCCAATGACCTTCTTGGCACAGTGCTCGAGCGCATTGTCGGAGACATCACATAGGTAGGTAACTTGGAAGTAATCTGAGAGGAACCCGAGAGTTGGAATGTGGGCAACTTGGGTGATTTCGCCACATCTAGTTGGAATATCAGTATCAATATGGTTCAGCACTTTGGCAATGGGCTTCTTACCCAATTATTCCTACGCGGAGGATCCTTTTGCCGGTGCTCATCTTGAATGTGTGAGGTGATTCCCAGCTTCCCCAATGACGTAATGGTTAGAAAACCTTGGAGGTTCCAAGGTTGAAAGCTGATTCGAACAAAATTTCAAAATATTTTGTGAACAACCAATATATCAGGTTGGATGTCTCGAATGTTTCGAATGTTTCGAGTGAATATGCTGGGTAAGTTGAATTGAAGAAGCGCTGATCTGATGCCACGCGAAGTGGAACAGCCCCGCCGAACTTTGCTCTCAGACGCTTTTTATTAGCACATTGGTTGAATACGAATAACATCAACACTAAGTTCTTGTAAATAAGACATGTAGTAGACAAGGAATCTTGAATTTACTCCATTAGAATGTACAATTGTAGACGTGTCTTGGTCCTATACTAGACGCCCTGGCAGATCAAACCCACTAACTTCAATACTTACTTGTTAGGAGTCAACTTTTGGAGACAAAGCACAAGTAAACATATCAATTTCTTAAAAGGATTATCTTGAAGCAGACAAAAAGGTGAGCATCAATCAAATCTCAAAAAAACATGACCTATCAGCATAATGACACTGGTCATCACAGATCTAGAAGCTAGGTGTTATGATATACAACCTCGGTCATTTGTTGTCAAGTCAGGATCAAGGCCGACATCCATAAGTATCTTAATCCTACATCGATGTACATGCATATCTAGCTGTGTATGAAATTTGAATCGTTAAAATATTGACTAGATGGTGTTAGTTAACCATCAGTTATGGCTTTCTTCAAGTTGTCCTGGGCTGATACCTGCAAAACCCAAGACTCTGCCATCTGACATTACTGAGCTTCGAGGAACCCAGCCGAAACACTTAAAATTGGGAACTTATGGGTATATCTCTTTTACTATGATAAGGAGCTAATCTTGCAATTTTGACTTCGAAGCACACACCGACGATGCATTATGTCTTTTGCCGTTCCCAGTAACGCCGGTAGCCTATTGCTCTCACACGCAGATAGCTACACCCAGGAACATGTAACTTGAAAGTATACAAAGAAAAGGAATGCCACTAAGGCTGCACAACCTGGATGTTGTTTTTCTTCTGCAAAGGGGGAGATCAAAGTTAGTATTCCGTATCAAGTTTCCAGAATATGGTTTCAGGCTTAGGAATAGCCATGAAACAGGGGATGCGCTTACCTTCCAGGTATCCAGCTCATCCTGCTTTGATTTGTACTGCTTGAGCATGTCCTCAATTACTTGTCTCAACCCGTCCGAGTTGGTCTTAAGTGTAGGAAGCACATCTTTGACAGTGCGCTCAACTAAAACGCCATTCACCAGGCGAAAACATTTGCGGTCTGCGGCAAGAGGGTCGAGGGTTTCAATCACAAGTCTAAAAAAAAATAGATGTTAGCATTGTACATATTCGTTGAGACATCTCTGGTTGTGCTCGCTCGTGGTGAACTCCCCGATTCATATCAGCGAGACCATGCTGGGATAGCGCATAACCCTGTAAGTAACTCACTTGTGTTCTTCTGCCTCCTGCTCAATATCACCGATCTTTTGCGCTAATTGCTGAAGGGTATTTTTGAAGTTGGTGTATTGGTGCTGAAGCTCTAGATTGAGGGGGTTCGCATCAGCTTTCGTGAACTCTTGAGATCTGCAGGGGCAATAGAAAAACCATACCTTGCTGCTTCTTAGGGTCAATCTGTTTCTGGCTAGACATGATGGCTGTCTGATATGGCGTGGTCGGCACAAGGAAGCTTGAGAAATTGGGATGACGATGCGGGGCGGTTACTTTTTGGTGTTGGTGGAAGCCACTACTATGGAACTTTATGCACCTCACACCCTACATAGGCACTTTAGCTCAGTATCTCACATATGTATACTCAGATACCCAAGACAACTCCAATATCATTAACAGAATTCTTGGTTTAACTCTATACTACCAATTATATGCTCTTCATGAACTAAGTTATATACCACGTGACTAATATCGCAGTGCAGTGACAAGTCGATCAGCTCGACTCCACCGTCCTCTAAGAAAAGGTTGCTTCGGGTCAGCAAAGCTGCAAATAAGCTGTCTTCTCGAGAATCAGAAGCTAAACACTGCTAATGACATTGCCATTTCAGAAGATTGCCTAGGTAACTACCAGGGCGGTGACTCTTCTCTGGCAATAAAAGGCGGTAAGAAGATAGGAAAGAGCTTCGACTCCGCGGATCACTTTCTCAAGTCAACCTCACGCAGACCACACCGAGTCGTACATTGCGAATAACTCAAGTCTGAAACCTGGCTCACCAGCCCGGCTGAACGACATGTCTCGCAACGAGATGGGCCCTCCGGCCAAAAGGCACAAGGGCTTTGGACACCTCCCTGCAGGCCTGCGCGACGCAAAACGGAAGGACATTGACAATTGGGAAACCAATCGAATGCTTACTTCTGGTGTAGCGCAACGACGAGACCATGAGGGCGACTTCATGCCCGAAGATGAAGAAGCGACTCGCGTGCATTTACTCGTCCACGATCTCAGGCCGCCTTTTCTCGACGGTCGTACGATCTTCACGAAGCAACTGGAGCCGATCTCCGCTGTTCGGGATCCGCAAAGTGACATGGCGGTATTCAGTCGGAAAGGAAGCAGGGTCGTTAATGAGCGCCGGCAGCAGCGAGAACGACAAAAGCAAGCACAGGAGGCGACAAATATGGCCGGCACAGCTCTGGGGAACTTCATGGGCATCAAAGAGGACGAAGGAGACAGCGCTGTCGCTGTGCCCATCGAGGATACCTACAAAGGAGGAGGAAACAAATTTGCCAGACATATGAAGAAAGACGGCGGCTCTAGCGCTTTCAGCAATAGCAAGACCATGCGCGAACAGAGAGAGTATCTGCCCGCCTTTGCCGTGCGAGAGGATCTTATGAGAGTCATTCGGGATAACCAAGTTGTGGTGGTCGTTGGGGAGACCGGATCTGGGAAAACCACCCAGCTCACTCAATTTCTACACGAGGATGGCTATTCTAAGTTCGGTATGATCGGATGCACGCAGCCTCGCCGTGTAGCTGCTATGAGTGTCGCTAAGCGAGTCAGCGAGGAGATGGATGTTGAGCTCGGTGGACTCGTCGGATACGCTATCCGTTTCGAGGATTGTACGAGTGATGACACGTTGATCAAATGTGAGTTTCTTCTTTCCGCTTTGGTGTGATCATATAGCTAATTTATGTACTAGACATGACGGATGGTGTATTGCTGCGGGAGTCTCTCACCCAAAAGGATCTCGACAAATACTCATGTATCATTATGGACGAGGCACACGAAAGAGCCTTGAACACTGACGTCTTGATGGGTCTTCTTAAGAAAGTCCTGACCCGCCGCAGAGATCTGAAATTGATCGTGACCTCAGCAACAATGAACTCTGAACGATTTTCGCGCTTCTTTGGCGGTGCCGCAGAATTCGTCATTCCCGGCAGAACCTTCCCTGTTGATCTTCACTTCTCGCGCACACCCTGTGAAGATTATGTCGATAGTGCGGTCAAGCAGGTCTTGGCCATTCATGTGTCTCAGGGCGCTGGTGATATTCTTGTCTTCATGACTGGCCAGGAAGATATCGAGGCAACCTGCGAGCTGGTCGAAGAAAGGCTGAAGCAGCTGAATGATCCGCCGAAACTCAGCGTTCTACCCATCTACAGTCAAATGCCGGCCGAGCAACAGGCAAAGATCTTTGAGAAGGCCGCCCCGGGCGTGCGCAAAGTAATTGTGGCTACGAATATTGCTGAGACAAGTCTAACGGTCGACGGTATCATGTTCGTTGTGGATGCAGGTTACTCAAAGCTGAAAGTGTACAACCCGCGCATGGGTATGGACTCTCTCCAGGTCACCCCGATTTCCCAAGCCAATGCAAACCAGCGATCTGGACGTGCTGGGCGGACTGGGCCGGGCAAGGCCTATCGTCTATATACGGAAACAGCCTACAAGAACGAGCTTTACATTCAAACGATCCCTGAGATTCAGCGAACCAGTCTTGCCAATACCATACTGTTACTGAAATCCCTTGGTGTGAAGGACCTTTTGGACTTCGACTTCATGGATCCTCCCCCACAAGAGACAATCTCTACCTCTCTTTTCGAGCTCTGGTCGCTGGGTGCTCTGGACAACCTGGGTGATCTTACATCTCTAGGACGTCGCATGACACCATTCCCCATGGATCCCCCTCTTGCCAAGCTCATAATCATGGCCTCCGATGTATACGAGTGCAGCGAGGAAATGTTAACCATCGTCGCAATGCTTTCGGTTGCAAATGTCTTTTATCGTCCCAAAGAACGACAGGAGGAAGCCGATTCAGCCCACGAGAAATTCTTCGTTCCAGAATCCGATCACTTGACCCTTCTCCACGTTTATACTCAATGGAAAACCAACGGTCACTCAGATGCCTGGTGCATCAAGCACTTTTTGCACTCCAAAACCCTCCGCCGCGCCAAGGAGGTCCGAGACCAACTTCACGACATAATGATCCAACAAAAAATGCCCCTCGTCAGCTGCGGTACAGACTGGGACTTGATCCGCAAGTGCATCTGTTCGGGCTTCTTCCATCAAGCCGCAAAACTAAAGGGCATTGGCGAGTTCATTAATCTCCGCACCAGCGTGACTATGGCGCTCCATCCCACCAGTGCCCTTTACGGTATCGGCCAAGTGCCCGAGTACGTCGTCTACCACGAGTTAATCCTGACGTCCAAGGAATACATGTCCACAGTGACAGCCGTTGACCCTCATGTAAGTTACCACTCCCCCATTCATGCCTGTTTGTCATCTAGTACTCAACTAACTCGTTTCTCTCAGTGGCTCGCCGAACTCGGTGGCGTATTCTACTCCGTTAAAGAAAAAGGCTACTCGCAGCGCGACCGCCGCGTGACAGAAATCGAGTTCAACAAGCGCATGGAAATCGAAGAGCAGATGGCAGCTGACCGTGAACGTGCTGCTGCCGAGAAATTGCGCGAGCAGGAACGCAACGACCCAGCCCGCCGCAGAACGGAAATCGAGGTTGGCGGAAAGTCCGTCGTGCGTAAAGCTATCATCAAGCCAGGACGCAAGGTCGGCGGTTTGACTGCTTCATCTTCATCTTCCTCGCGGCCTGGAGCCAATATCGATGGCGCTCACGATGGAGGTGGAAGTCGTCCCGGAAGCAGTGTGGTCAAGAGGCCTACGGTGCCTCGGAGGCCAGGACGTGCATTCTAGTCTTGGTCTTGGAGTGAAAGTCACAAATTTTGTCCCCTAATACCCCGATAGATGTGCTGTGCATGAAGACCCGTACGCCTCACGTCCACTCTCTTCTTTCCTCTGCCTGAAATCCTTTAGGATTTTCCAAATATATTGACCTACGGTCTTACGTGTTGATCTTGAATCACAGTTACGAATACGTTACGACGTGGAATGATGCGACTAAGCTAGTTTGGATTGTGACAATCTAGCCGGCTAAGTTGCTGCTAGTCAGTTCTAGCAATAAAAGAATAGAGACAGTTCTCTGATTTTTTGAGTGTATACTCATTTCCCTATGTAATCCTAAGTTATCACGTAGTATCTAATAGAGAAGCTCTTGGAGCTAGTATTCAGCTTGCTTTTGGAGCTTGCTTCTGCGAAATATACTTCTAGGCAGGATCTTTGTCGTCATCACTTGTGATATACTTACTTTCTCTAATACTCCCTTTATCGTTTGCATTATAATATGACAATTAGTCTAATATTCGTTTCTTCTTTTACATCCATCTACATGGATTTTGTTCAATCGATACCCGGCATTGAGTTATCATTCAGCTCCTTTCCGAGTACGCTCTGCTCTTTACACCCAAGCTTTCTCCGAGGTAGGGCCATATGAACAGCATACGCTTATCCAACAAGTCAACCTTGTGTAAGCAGATAGGTCAAATATGAATAAAATTTTCCACTTCGATCAAAGACCAGCGTACAGAACCAGAACAAGGATCGGCTAAAAAAGGTGCAACATGGAAGGATATCTAAGAGACGACATTCCCCATCCCATCGGGGGATCAAAACGAATTAAACCCAGACAGGAAACAGAATGAGCCAGCATGGTACATATTGAACAGAGGCTTTTAGCACCGGGCACAACTCAGTTGATGAAGTTGACACAGAAAAAGTGTAGGATCAAGCTTCCGAAGATGTAATCGGCGAAGGCCCTAGAATTAGAGATCAGCATATGCATCCATCATAGCCTTGGAAAAACAATCGTGAAGCTGGATCACCACAAAAAACACAAAAGACAAAAAGGAACTCACCTCTCATGTGAAATACCCGTCCCCTGTTCTTCACTCTCATCTGCAAAGCGCGCATTCTTCCCCTTAGAGCTCGGCTTTGATCCAGAACCAGTACCGCTGTCACTAGTTTGCATGCGCAGACTTGCCGTAAGGACGAATTGACCAACAGCAGCACTAAAGCCACTGAGGAAGGCATTGAAGGGCTATATGGGAGGGAACAGTTGTTAGTTATTGGTATATAAATTTCCAATTGCAAATCACATGCCGTATAGACAAGACAAGAGAAAAAGAGGGTGAAGAAAAGCAATAGAAACGGAATGGTATTTGCACTTACATAGTTCCCAGCTACAACACAGTACACAAACTGCAATCCACCAACAAGAACCAGGAACGCCATGAAGGCATCTAGGAGGAGTGTCCGCTGCGGCGTTGTAGATGCATACTGCTGCCAGACATGGCTAGCAATTTCAGCGGCTGAGGCATTGGTCTTGAGGGTTGTTGGGCCTGAGGAGAGCTTCGGTGTTGTGAGTGCGGGTGTGGGCGTGGGCGTGGAGGATGCCGCGGAGGTAGTTGAGGCCGCGTGGCGCTTGGGAGCCATGATTTTAGGATTAGACGGATCGGTAGTACTTGGGTATGTGGAGTTGTCGTTGAATAGATTATAGATATCACCGATGAAGATTTTACTGCAAAATTGGTGCAGGGAGGGTGGGTTGGAGGACAATGGCGGAGTGGAAAGTGGTGGTTGATGCCAGCTTGGAGCTTGTTATCACCGTAGTCACGTGGTGGAGTAGATCCCGATTTGGAAGTATACAATTAAGTGATAACGAATAGTATATTTTTTCGATGATTTAATGGTAAATTCATTGACTGGTATTGAGATTGCGTTTTTGATTAACGGTTGTGTTAGATATTGGATATACAGTGTTGCCACAACACAACGTCGCCGATATAATGCGTAAGAGAGAAGAGGAATATAATAACAGTGAGGGGAGGGGATATCAATAACCAACGCCATAAATCATCCCATCATTAATAGAAAAGGCCTCAGGTGAGAAATGAACTGCCATCTATCAAGAGGCTAAGCAAACCATTCGGCAACATTACCGTTGGTTGGCAGAGAATCGTCATTTTCAACATCCATCTGGAAATCACGCATGACTTGATCCCATTCCTCCCAGTTGAGCTGAGTGGTGTCAGGAAGGGGAGCCTCATTCAAGAATGGGTTTATCATGGTTGTGTTGTAGGGAAGGCTTGTGGGCAAGCTCGGTGCCGAGATATTATTCTGGGCCGGTGGAGCATCGAATATATCGTTTGAAGTAGCTAGGATGTTTATGCCAGGGAACATATTTCGAAGAGCACCCAATGGTCCATTGCTGGGGTCATAGTCTGTATCAGATGCTGTTGAGCCTGGCCGATTTATCGAGGGCGAATTTGGCATCCCTATTGGCATATGAATCCGCGGAAGAGTATGGTTATGATTGATGCTTTGAATAGGCTCTGTTGTGGTGGGGAATGGTCCAAAACTGGATAGCAATTCTTCCTTGTGCTTGGACCGGGTGGCAGCAGCTCTTTTCATCAAGGCGGCGAGCGGCCGCCACAGCATGCCCTTCTTATGTGTGGCCTGCATGGCCCATTCTGTGTAGATCGAACTGACAGCGCTCCAAGCTCGATCGGTAATAGGGCAAATTGGTCGTACGCATACCTCGGACAGAACAAATGCGATTCCATGCCATTGCATATTGGTCCGGAACAGCCAGCCCCATTTGGCGGTCTTGAGATCGGTTTCAAGCAAGTGGCCAAACTCAAGGACCTCAATTGCAGTCAGAAACAAGCTCTCTCTCGTTGCTTGTGACACATTTCCACGCTCTTTTCGGGTCATTGGGTGATGGACGATCAGCCATAATTTAGCAAGGATGAGACGCCCAACTGTGGCGGTGCACCACTGCAAGGGAATGTTCATATCACAGTGCTTGATATATCGTTGTTCACATCGATCACTGATAATTTGAATCATCTGTCCAGCACGATCTATGGGCGGTAAACTGTTAGGTGAACGAAACTGGGCTCCGGGGCACACGTAATTTGCTCTCCGTAAAGCGCTCGTTATCTCACAGCGAATGAGGCAGAATGTGACATCCGTGAAGCCTTCTCGCTCCTTGGGGGGCTCTTCCATGTCAGGCGACAGGTCGTCGTCATTGAGATTTAATGGCAGTAGAGTATCGTACATGCTCTCGTGAATGAGTGGGTCGGTCCCATGGTCTTCAGATGAGCGGACATCCAATAGTGAAATATGCCACCATAATCGGCGCCGCATCTCTGTTTCATACGGTTTCAGAGCGAAATTGCTGCCATCCCGGTGTAAGCCTAAGCTCTGAGCAAGGCGTAATACAATCGATGTCATAGACCACACAAATTTGCTATCATCTTCTCGTCGCACGCAGACTAAGAATAAGACAGCCGCTTGCAGAAGGACCAAGCTTTGTGTATTCAAGAACCCGGCTTTTGCAAGCGCTTGCTCTGTAGCAAACCTGTACCTCTTGACAGCAATAGTTCGGTCTTCCCCGAACTGGAACCAACAGTCATCTGGCTTCATGCTGACAATGCTACAAAGATACATGGAAAATACCAATGCCTCTGAATTTTTGTCCAAGGCATCAGGGTTCCGTGCTGCTTGGGAAAACAGGTCTCTGGCAGTCGGTCGGTGTACGATGGTGACCAAAGGAGCCACATTTTCCTGGTATGTTTCCCAAAGTAAGGAGACCTTGGGCATTGGGGGGTGAAACTCTCGAAGAGACTTTGAAAGCGAGTAGAATCCAAAAAGGAAGCCGTCATGGGAGGCCGACTGAGAAGACTCTGGTGAAGGTGTATCATCTTCCCCCGAGGACGAATGGTCAAGGATATCCTGCAGCTCCTCTATCTAAAACATGTTAATATGAAGTACGTCGAGGTAGCAAAAGAAGATGAGCGATATCTACCTCGTCCCCAAGACTAGTCCAGAGCCGATTGCTGACATATCGGCTCCGGCCTTCATCAATGACCAACCGCCCAAATTCATTCTCAAACTTATTGGGAGCGAGTTTCTTCGGATCCGAAGCTTCAAACGGACAGTGACGTCCACCGTCAACCTGGTTTTGTGGCTCAGTCGAAACAGACGTGGGCGCAGTCGGCTCGCTCCGAACGGTCGAAGATCCAGTCGTAGAAGGCGGCGCCTGAGTCGAGGTCGATCCACCCTCTGTACCACCATTGCCCCTAAGATGATCAATAACACCCTCCAAACGACGTAACCGCGAAAGCAACTCCGCATCCGGTGGACGTTTCGATTTCCGCGGGGGCACGGCCAGGAGGGGGAAAGGTGCAGTCGATGCCGGCTTTGGTACAGTTCGAACACGGGGATCGCTTGTTGCAGCGGACTTTCCTGCGACGGCAGGTCACACAGCTGCGAGAGGTCGAGCTCGGGGGTTCCGTAGCCGCATGGCGGGGAAAGGTGGCGACCAAGTTCGGAGGTAGTGGAGTATTTGAAGAATTATAATTGACGGGAAGGGGATTCAACTCCTCTGGGGAAGCTGGAGGGAACGACATCGCGCTAAGGTAAGGACTTCGGGTCTCGCTTCCCACATTCTTTGAAGCCTAGTGGTTCTAGCAAGAAATACCTGGCAAAAATACGAAGATTGTACAGAGTGATCTCATAGGCATCAAATTATCGCTTAGGGCCCTGGACGCATGTGACTGATTAGAGTTCCAAAGGCTATGACTCAGCGCCCGGTCTGGCCCCCGGGGGCGCCGTCCCGTTGAGGCCAAAGGCCGTTATCTCCGTTTGACTCCGGACTCCGGAGATCGTATAGATCGTGAAAGCCCTGGGAATAAATACATGCTTAGATAGTGGTATATGTACTGCTTCTATCATCAGATCCAATTCAAATATACCGACGCCAGATATATGCAAGAAATCACCACGCATACTGACCGTCACGCTGAAGGTGAGGTAAATAAAGCACTTATGCAAGGAATGCGCTCGGTGGTCCGCTCATGCTTCGTCTATGTGCGCAGGAGGAATGAGTGTAGGGGTGTTTATGGTAAGTTGTTACCGCGTGAGCCTCGTCGAAGCGAGCGCTTGAATTTACGCCTGTAGAGCATCAGTCAACCATCGTTAGATATGATACTTATAGAACTCACACCGCAGACTCCCAAATCTTGGTCTGTTCATTGAAGATGTGACTAGGACAGTTAGTTACCCAAACTAACATATAATATGGAACAATTCAGGACATACCCATAAAAGCTCGTTCGCGTGAGTGCCTTTGGGCCATACTCTTCTTCGAGGAGATATGTATAAGCGTATGGAATTTTGACCGGAACACCCTCGAAGAGACTGTCGCGCAGCGGGAAGATGTCACTCTCCTATATTACCCGTTAGCAAGAATAGACAGACAGCACCACCAGACAACTTACTTCATAGTGATGTTTATCCTTGCACATTAGCGCTTCCGGATGGCCATTCAGCCGCTTAGCCTCATCCTTGCGGACAGCAGTGATATCGATGAAAAGACCGGACGACATATCAATCCACCGGGCATCAATCTTATTCAAAGTGTCCCTCTCAGATTTGACGACATAATGAGGATTGACCTCGAGCATGTATGTACGGCCGCCGTCGACGTTAGGAAGATCGAAATGATGCTCTGTCATGTTATAGTAATCCGCCAAGAAATGGATCGTCGCCTCCGAGATCTGCACATCTAGATCGTCGTCCCATGGAAAGACCTATACAACTGGTTAGGGAGTCACCTTAGAATCCGGGATATCCATAATCCCACCTTCTGGTTCCACCACCAGGCCAAGAGAGTCCCATGCATGATCCATGTCTCTGCACCGATTGCGTTCATTGTTGTGAAATATGTTTGGATTAGATCCGAGAGATATGGGATGACTTTTGTATCTGGGAGACTGGCATTGGCGTATCTGAAAAGCGTTAGACATCGCGGTTGGGATTGAAGAATTAGCGAGCGTACCGGCCGTCATAATGATGATTGAATCTGAGTATTGCGGTTTAGTTTTGATCATATCTGGTACTATTCACAGGAAGGGAGATGTTCAACATACTCTGATTCATCTGTAGGGTTCACACGAGTCAGTTAAGATTCAAATAAGAGTTCCATGGTTCGTGGCCTTATAAACCAAGCTTGGGGTTGTAGACATCGACGAAAGGATTAAGGATTGCACTTACGAAAGTACTTCTCTTTCGGTATCGCACGTTCACTCTTATACTCCTTTGTTACATTCTTTCGCACGCTCATGAAATTCGGTTCTGTATCTCCGCAGACTCCAGAAATGGTAGTCGCCAAAAGGAATCCATAGAGCCACAAGACTCTGGTGACTGCAGAGCGCATTCCGTACTGGAGTTTCATAGACCCCGACACTTCATGCTCCGGATCTCAATATGTACAATGAGCCTAGAAATTGTGCGAAGACAGGTTCGACCTGTGCTGTCCACAGGGAGTCTCTTCCAAAATGGGTGACGTCCGAGGATCGGAGACGGGATAATTTATGGAGAACAAAGATAACAAATAGAAAAGAGGGTATAATAATGTATGAAGATTGAAGAACTGGAGAAGGGACTGGAGAATCAAAAACGCAGGAGATATTTTGACTAGTAGCCAGTTAATCCCATTTCAGCTTGAATTTCCGCCGGTTTTTCCGGAACCCCCTTATCCAAGAGCTGACGACTCCCATAGAGGAACAACCCAAGTGACAATATCCACGGATCGAATCAGCAGAGTCTGCAATTTTGCGCCACGGACGTGCCCCACATGGCAATAAGCTTGTCTTGAGGGTCGCGTGGGCAATCTTGGCAAAGTTTTGCGTGTGAAACACGAATTTCAACCCGATGTTCCCATGGGTGACGAGGACGCGCATCCCGCTAACGCTATATCCATTGGCGTTCCCCAAAAGAGGTAGCTTGGCTGCTAGTAACATAAAGTGGCGCCCAGAAACTGATTGGGGCATACGCGTCCTCCCCTATCGCATCATTTTAGTCTGGTGGCTGCCCGGTCCGCACACTTAGAGACGGGTTGAGAATTGGTGGATATAAGGTTGGACATGTATCGCTCTCGAATAAGACATCACCTTCATCGGTTACTTCGGCTGAGATTCGGTTAAAGGTGCATCTCAAAGACACAGGCTCTGCGCCAAGGTCTTCGGGTAACTCGATCCGATCGAAGCCCCACTCGTCCCCAGCAATGATCTCTAATGTTGCTGTTATGGGCTGCAGCAACGCAAAAAGACCCAAAATCTTAATTGCATAGAGGATAAAGGGTAGATCCTCCCCAGACTCGACTGCAACGGTGGTGATCGTGGCTCATTTCGAAACGTCATTGAAACTGACCAATCATGAAAGAATGTCCGATGGCGCATGAAGTAAGCCTTTGTGCATAGCACTGGTTGAAGAAATCTCCGACCCCGAGCCTCAACTCCGACCGGTGGATCTTTCAGCTTGAGTCCATAGCAGAAAGATATTGAAAAGCGACTTTGCCCAAGCTGGAAAGTTGCTCTTTTGATTTTCTTCAAGTTCTAGTCTTGACTCCTGATGTCGACTATGAGTGGACCGGGTTTATTTTCCAGCCGAGCTACCGTGCGACCGGGAAGGATTTGAACCGGTCCTTTCCACGAAGATCATATCTGTTGGTACGGAGTAGTGGAGTGCGAGCTGAATGGCTCGAAGTAATGGGAGTATGTGTCTAGGGCATACCGCTTACCTCCAATCGTCACTTGGATTGACCTTGAAAGTGGCGGAAGATGCGAGCTGGCCACAAAGCAGGGCCTAAAGATGTTCGGTGTCCGTCTATTCCGCAAACCACGGACATCGCCGTTAGACAACCTCACGCGCTAAAATGCTTGTCAAGACGGCATAATCGGACCTGAGAGATCAAACCAGTTCGAACAACAAACAGAATAACCGCATAAATTTCCTCAATGAACCAGCGTTGATATACATGCCTTCAACTCACCCTACAAATTAACGCGTGTCGAACAACACCTACCTCTTTTACTCGGATGTTCCATAGGGCACACTTGTCCGGCATACCGAGAAAATCAGGTTTCAACGGAGACGAGCCGAGTCTTCTTATCACATGCTTATAGTTGTCCTCTACCACCGAAGCCGCCAACGCCGGTAGCTCATCCACTTGGTTTGTGGCAGTGTCGAGTGGCCTCATTGTGGGGTGGACAACAACTGAGACATGCATGCAGATATACAGATGCATATGGTTGAATGGCTATTTTATACTCCGTACTCTTCGCGAATAGGATCTATATCCCGATGATACTATAACACCCTGTTCGGCGTACGGAGTACATAGCCACATATTATTTCACAGGTTCGGCCGGGGTATTCGGGCCGGACATACATACATGTTATGTCCCATGTTATGTCCCAAGGTTTGAATTCATATTTATTTCCCTCATCCCCACAAATATGAAGCTATGGCGAGAGTAAAAGGCGCATGAACCGATTGGGGCAACCAGGCACTTTCGATTGGCCAATAATGGACTTCCGATTTTCGGTGGAGGTGTACAGAGGAGCGAGTGGAATAATGATTCGCTATGTTTAGCTTTAGCCTTTCAATCTCCATTCACGGTTTCGTTTACAAGTCGAGTTAACTAGTACTACGGAGTATGTTGTACCTGAACTCAGCCACCGTAAAAGAATGTAGATCACATATGGCGGAGTACGGGGTTTTCCCGATGGGGTGCCGCTGCTTTATTAGGGTCCTCAGGGTCTAATTCACCGATTATTACCGGTACACCGCACAACGGAGGCTAACGAAAGATATAGAAATCATGTATCTTTGTAAATTTGCATGGCTAATACATATAAGATATAAAAGCATAACATATTTTCTCAACTTTCGAACCATGGAGTAATAATACGTACAGTATAAGTCTAGGTTGAATTAACACTAGGATTAATCATGGCTGCACGATTCAGCTACCAAGATAGGAAATAATGATGCTCAAAATGCCTCACAAATCAATAAGCCCAGAAACTTGTTATCTACGAGTTTGTCAAAACCATTCAATTAGGGTTAAGATATTCCGCAACGATTTCAATGGTGGGCCGGAATCGTAATCCCGATAAACGCCCATGGAGGCCAGTCAATAATATACGATACGTGCTCAGTTTTACTCTGGCGACCAAAAAGCGGCAAGGACAGCCCTAAAGGAGAAGGGACAGCCATCTATACCTGTATGGATGTAAGATTACCGGAATATACCACCTGGGATGTATTTTATCTTCTATCCCAACCTGAACTGGGCTGAACCTGACGCTTAGCGTGGAGAAGGGGATTTTTACCCTCTCCACTTCTCCAGGGCTTCTAGCCTTTCCCTGAGCGCTTGAGCATCTTTTTGCTTTAAGCTTCGATTTATTTTTTAGCTTTCACATGATAATTTCTTGAATCTCTTATTCACATCCTTGTGGGGTCTGACATCGAAATCTATCGGATACTTTTCTGTCTTTTCTGTCAGTTCGACTTTCATGTCAGTCCCCATTGCACGAACTTCACTCGATACAATGCCTCGATATACACAGTAAACAGCATTATTCGGACGTACCATTGACGCCGGCTCATAATTTATGGGAAAGAACCAAACTCTCGGCGCGCGCGCCTGTGTGAATATGTCAGAGACCTCCTCCACATCCCAAGGCGAATCAAGCACCCTCCAAGGATCAGCCGCCCAGCCGTTAAATAGATCCTGCGAGTCTTGCCGAAGTCTCAAGGTCCGCTGCCTCCCCAGCCCAACCACGTCTAACCAATGCCAGCGATGCGCCAAGGGCAAGCGATCCTGCGTCTTCGTGGCGCCGCAGAGACGGCGGCCCCGGAAGCGGACGGATTCGCGCGTTGCACAGCTCGAGAAGGAGATGCGGATGATGCGTTCGCTCTTGAAAAATCGTATCCCCGAGGAAGAGGAACCGGATTCCAGTGACGACAGCGACGGGGACGATGTTCAGGATGAATCGGCCGATACGGACGCTAAGAGCACTCTCGCATTGCGGGACAATTCGACTCACTCGTCCGAGGATGTCCGTTATATGGATTGTTCCCCTGAATTGCTGAATACCCCGCACTCCGGCGTGCATGGTAGTGGTGGCTTTTCAGCGCCGCCGATTTTCACGGATATGCCGGCTCGCCATGAATCGCTGCGGGAGAGGCTTCCTCCGGCGGACGACGTGATCGATCGGGGAATTCTCTCCCTCGAAGATGCGGAGCAATTGGTGGCGTATTTCATTCACGAACTTGCATTTTTCTTTCCATTGGTCGTCTTGCCTTCGAACACCACGGCAGCTCAACTGCGACAAACAAAGCCAGTCCTCTTTCTCTCCGTGATTGCTGCGACATCCATATCCGTCGACGCAGGATTGGCAACCGTGTTGAACCGTGAGATGGTTCGCCTCTATTCTGAGAGGTTCTTCATCGAAGGCGAAAAATCACTGGAGCTAGTGCAAGCGCTGCTGCTGATGATCATATATTATTTCCCGCCCGCCTCGCCTTTGAAGCTGCAGATTTATCAGTACACGCACATCGCCTCGACGATGGCGTTAGAAATTGGGTTAGCTAATAAACGTCGTGTCTCGAAAAAGTCCGATCGCAAAGGCAGCAGGCATGACGAGCTGCTTGCTGAGCAGGCGAGGACAGTTCTCGGCTGCTACCATCTCGGTTCGAGCGTTGCGATGAAAACCCGTCGCCCAAATATGCTCCAGTTCAACGACTGGATGACAGAGTCTCTCAAACACCTAGAAAACTCGCCGCATCGAACGGATCAACATGTAGCGACATGGTTCGAGCTCCAACGAATAACCGACGAAGCAATGTCCTCATTCGGTCTAGACGACACCAGTACCACATCACCCCTAACCGAGTCGCGGGTCCAAGCCGTGCTACGCTGGTTCGACAAGCGGCTCGAGACGTGGAAGAGGAACATTCCACCAGATATGCTGACCGGTAAGAAACCCCAGTCCTCTCGCTGTGTCATGATTCATCCAAAATCAATGCTAACGAATTCCATCAAACCAGTCCCCATGATCCTCGAATACCGCTACACAGCACTGGCAATGTACGAACTGGGCGTAGGAGAAGGCTACCGCGACCCAGACGCAATAAAACGACGATATTTCACGCTGCCGACCCTCGATGGAGAAAACAACAGCGGCAGCGAAGCACCGGACGCCCCACTCAGCGCAATCCGCATCGACATCAAGGTGAAATGGATGAACGCCGCACATGAGTTGCTGGACGCCGTGCTGGTCTGCAGCACGGACACTCTGCGTAAACTCCCAAATCTCACGTACACTCGGTTCGCGATGGCCGTGACATCCCTGCTGAAAATACACTTCTCCGTGCGAACCGGTGCTCTCGGGGAAGTCGTCACGGCGCAGGCCGTGAATGTGGCTTTCTATCTCGATGCCTTAGCCAGAAAGCTAAGCGAGGCCAGTGCCGGGGGCAAATACCTTATCCCCAGTCGGTGGTATCATGTCGTGGGCGTTAAGGGCCAGGATTGGTATGACCGGCTGGAGAGGCGCCAAAATGGAGGGATAGTAGCTGGTTCTCAAGTCGTATCGGAAAGCCCGCCGATCGGCACCACAAAATCGATCACAGCATCACACCCTACCCAAAACCAAAACCAAGTGCAAGTGCAAGACACACATTTGGATCAGGTCCCAGCAACGATGGACTCCTTCCCCGGCGTCCCCATGCCCCCAATGCCGCCGGCGATAGACGGGTACGTAGCGATGGGCGGTGCGGGCATGTGGGCCATGGACGGCGGGAATAACCCGAATTTCTACGCCATGAGCGCGGCGGGCTATCAGCCCTCGGTGACGCATGCGCAGGCGATTTTGCCACCTCAGTTTGCCTACGAGCCGCAGAGGATGCCGGTTAGTGCTGCTGGGCAGCATATGGCTAGGGCGGGCATGGAGTTGGATGGGTGGCTTCCTGATGGGAGTATCTTTGGGATGCAGCCTTTGCCTGAATTTTGAGATGGAGATAAGAGCCTGGGATTAATAAACCCTGGGGTGGATGCACATGAAAGTGAGTCTACAACATATATAATGTCACATATCATAGGTATGAACTGTATATACATATCAGCTTGTTAATATTTTAACCCTGATATTCCATAGTCATATCAACAAGGGTTATGTTATACTTACCAGTACATGAGAACATCATCCAAGAAGATCCCAAAAGGCTAGAGCCTAGCTCAATAACTCAGCCCTGATAGATGGGAGTATCACTTGAAAGGCAGACATACCCATCACCACACACAGTCAAGTCACCAAGACGAGAAGAAAAGAAAAAGAAAAAGAGAAGAAACCGTCAAAGAGCGAGTACCCCAACGGACATTAATCGCATTTAAAGCGAAACAAATAATACATTCGCAAAGTGCTGTCGGAGGCTCGGGAGGATCGGAACTTCCGTGGAACCGTCGGGGTTCATTGACGTGTTGGATATGGGTCTGATGTGGGTTTATTCGGGGTCTTGGCTGTTCCTTTCTGCACTACGGGGTATGTTATATGTCCTTATGTTGCATTGGTAGTTTTTGATGGCATTGGCCTGTGTCTTGTACTCCTTGTATCCGACCTTCCAGATAGGTCTTCGTGGTTCTTGGATTAATTTGTGAATGTATCGTTGTTATTGTATTTCGATGTGACTATTTGAAGGGTATTTGAAGGATTTTAACTTAGTTACTCGAAATTGAGCTGTATAACACATTCGTGGAGCGGGATCTATGGAGGATCCGATTCCATGGATAATCAGACAGTAACCACATGCAATAATGCATAGGCAGATCAGTAATCATAGTTTGTGCAAATAATCTCAACCAAAACAGGTTCGTCAATTCATTGCGTAGATAGAACATGGATATCAAAGCCAACCGAAACAAGGACCAACTACCTGATATATTCAACTCCTGGCAGTACAGAATAAAAGAAAAGCGTAAAAGTAAAGCAACAGAATCACAGAATTGAAAACGCCTCCAACGCATCCATAAACCCAGCAATAGCCCCGATTCCCACCAATCCCCTTGTAGCATTTCGAGTCAACGCCTTATGTCGATCCTTAGCATCTTCACGCGGGGACCGGCGTGGGTGTGACGACGGGGACCTTTGATCCGAGCGAGTCGGCGAGGATCGGAAGCTAGACTCGGGGGACGAGGAGGAAAGCGGGTATGTGGATGGATGTTGGCGGGGTTGAAGTTTGTTGTTGTTGTTGTTGGGAATATTGTTGTATGCCTGGTTTCGAGCCCTGGGGGGCTCGAAGTAGACTTGGTTTGGCGATGTGCCTCTGGGAGAGGGGTTGGAATTGGGAACGTTGATGGCTGGGTTTGATTGGTTCATGTTTGTTGGGATGGATCGGGGGACTGCAGCGTAGTCTTGGTTTGGGTAGTATTTGTATGGCTGCTGGGGAGGACCCGGCTGTGAGTGTGAAGGTAATGGTGGAGGACGGGGTAAAGCACGGTTCGGGGGTGGGAAGCTGCCGCTTGGGTATGCGGGAGGTCTACTGTCGGGATTGTTGTGACTCGGATATCTGGATGAGAGGCTGTTGGAATGGAAACGGCGGCCTTGCATTGGGTTGGCGCTGTGTGAGGGTCGAAGAGTATCGGGTCTCTGCTCGCCTTCGTCACTTGAGTCGATGACTCTCGACTCGCTGCGGGGGCTGGATCGACGCTTCAGATATTCATCCGGCTCTGGTTCGCTTTCCACTTGAGCCTGGTAGCTGGAGTACTTTCGGCGTAGCTCTGCTGCATGCTGTCGGGCCTCTTGTGAATGGGGGTCTCTCCAGTCCACTGTTGCTCCTTCGAGGTAGTAACCTCGGAAGCTGTGATTATCAAAGTCCAGCTCTTTGGTATCATCTTCTTCGGCATCCGAAGAGACGTAGACTCGAGGTTGTACTCGGTTGTTAGATGTGTTAAAGCCCTTGGCGGCATGGTGTAGTTTTGAAGGGTCAATCGAAGGCACCCAGAGTGAAAGCAGCCGGTTCAACGTGCTCTCAGATAGTTGCACCATATCTTTCGGGGATTTTTCCATATCACTCAGTTCCACGTCACTATCCCCAAAAGCGATGATGGGCAGTCTTGTTGGATCCGAGTATCTGGTTGCGGCAGCAAATGGCTTCGATGTCGATGCCGTATTGGACGAGTAATTGAAACTGATCCTCTGGTTTGTCGGGTTTTTGGCAGCATCCAAGGTCTCCTGTTCCACGAGATCCCACAAGCGATCAAGGCGCTTGACTGACCAATATCGGACGATTATCATGTTCTGAGATTCAGCTTTCTCCTGAGCAATGGCATCGTTGGCGGTGGCTGTAAAGGAATCAATATCAGTTCCGTCGTCAATGTTGGATTTGATAACGTCCCCAAGCTGTAGAATTTGTAGCATCACAATCAGACTGAGCTTGAGAGATTCCAACTGGGCTAGCAAATAAGTGACATGCTGCTTCCGGAAACACCATTTGAGTCTATCCTGCAGTGGGATTCTCATAAGATCATTGTCCTTATCGGTTGCCTTCAGTTTGTCCAGCATGTGTTCGATCTCGATGAATATCATCTGGCCTTGTCCGGAGATCTCCCATGCCTTCTCTGTCGCCTCTAAGGACCGGTCCATATCAGTGCCCTCAATGATCTGCCCAACATGTTTGAGCACCAGAGCAAAAAGCGAGATTCCCTTGGCGATACTATGAATCTCCAGTCTGGACTGAGCGAGTTGACAAGCGGCAGCATTGAGGAGCAGTGAGAGGCGAAAACCCGCACCGGCAACCTTAATAATGGAAGCCTGTGAGCCTTTAGAGAGAAGGAGCTCATTAGAAGAATTTCTCAACTTTCAAAGGGAAAGGCATACCTTGTGCCATGATAAAGCAGTGTTTCAGATCATATCAAAGACAAAGTGGACTTCCTCCAACTATCATAACCTCCAAGCTGTTCCCCGCCAAGAACTAGAGCCGCAACTGCATATCAAGTGACTCACGTCTGACATATCAATTTGAACTCCCGGAGGGTTTTCTGTCTGTACGCCCGCGATTCATGGCGTCATAGTCTATGATTTCTCGCCTTCTCGTTGGTTTACGAGGACGGGCGGAGTTGATCTTCAACCTGAAATGATCTAGCGCATACTTTTCATTGTTACATGAAGTCCCGGGCAAAAGTAACCGGCACTGCCCCAAACCTCGATTGCCTTGGATTTGTTTATCAAGACTGTCTCGCCCGTATCAAAAGGGCAGATTATGCCCCGGGGGTCTTCGGATGGCCCCTACCCTTGCTCTTTAGCCGGGGTTTTCCCAGGGCGAAGCATGGTGGCAATGACCTCGTATTATGAGAAGTGGGATCTGGAATGAATGGTAAGCTGATTACTCCGTGCAGAATTCCGTTATCTCCGAGTAGAGGGATTTCTCTTGCCTTGTATAACAAAATACAATAAAACAGCCACAAACATAGCCCTGGGGTATATATATGTACGGAGAAGACATGCAGCTATTCCGAGGTGGATCTACTAACATTGACCTATTAATGTGAAACGCTCCCATAGAATGAAGAATACTCCATAGAGAACATCAATATCCAAAACAATCAAACAAGAATGTATGTTATTCGAAGATCTACTGTTTTCATTCAGACTTGTTTATTTAGCATCGGACCCGATGGGCGCATTTCCGCTTTCGGTCCCTCCACAGTTCCTTTTGCTATTTGCCTAATCTCTCCCCAAATCTCCAACTCTCTACAATAACTCTTTAAGCTCTTTAATTACAGACTCGATTTGAATCCTTTCTTGTGGCTGCTCTCTGCTAGCTAATTGATCTCTCCGCCGCATTCTTCGCCCCTCCTTTTTTCGCCGCGTGGCACACCGTCATCTGCGGAGACTATTGCTCAAGCCTGTCCGATGACAATCTAGTGGCCCACCATCGGACGTGGGAAACTCGTGATAAGACAAATACACTCAAATAAGAGCCCCAAAGCTCAACGCAACAATTGTGAGGCCGGATGGGTGAGCTCCCGAAGGTATCGCGAAGGAACGAGGGACAACTGGGATCCGATACACCACCTTTAAGGCCCCCAAGAGCCTCCAGTCCATGAAATCATGACCGCAGCCTCGGGTGTCACTGTAGACACCTCCGATTATCCTATATTATCCCCGCCGAACGCCCTCCATTCGTCCCAGCACGAGCCCCAATCGACAAAGGGCGATTCCCCCACAAATCAGAATGGAAAAGAGACAGAGCGCTCAGCGCCACAACCAGTAGCACCCAAACCCGCTGCAGGATCTGTTAAACAAGATCCTATTGCATCAGATGAAGTAGATGATTTTGGCCTTCCCATCCGAGCACGCCGGCACAGCCCCGCACCCAGCGAAGGAGAGAATGCCAGCCAAAATATCCAGAATGTACCTGTGAGCTCGACGCGCTACAGTGACGCTGTGGAAAAGGGAAAGGAGCCGGAGTTATCACAGGGCAAGCTAGCCAATTCGAATAATACAGAAGAGCGAGACAAGGGCGCAGACCATAACACTTCTTCTACACTCCCGGCGTATTCATCGGCCTCGGCCTCTACAGCTCTTGCTCAGCCTCGGACCTCAACTTCGAAACAAAGGCCCCCCCAGGTGTCGGAATGGTCGCACCAGCGCCTCGCCCAACCTGATGCACATCACCCCGAGAGTGAGGAGTCAGAGCCAGAGCCCGATGAGTGGAAAGCGATGCCTGCGCTTGGAGAGTTCGACTATTATGACGACTATGGGAGACTTATTGCTCGTGGCGCCAAAGAAGAATCCGACGAGGCTGTATACCAAGGATTAGGAGGAGCAGGGAGGGGCTATACTCGGGTGCAGCTCGACGATGATGCCCAGTCTGCTACAAGTCTAGATGATGATACAAGCTACCTGTTTCGAGAGGCAGGCGGCAACTCTGCCGGTCTAGTTGGCGAGGAACTGCGAGATACCATCAGCCAGCTCCAGGCCACCAAAGACCTTCTCAACGAGACTCAAAAGAT